CCAGATCTCAACCCAATTGAACACTTATGGGAGATTCTGGAGCGGCGCCTGAGACAGCGTTTTCCACCACCATCAACAAAACACCAAATTATGGAATTTCTTGTGGAAGAACGGTGTCCCTCCAATAGAGTTCTAGACACTTGTAGAATCTATACCAAGGTGCATTGAAGCTGTTCTGGCTCATGATGGCCCAACTCCCTATTAAGACACTTTATGTTGGTGTTTCCTTTATTTTTGGCAGTTACCTGTATCACCAATATTAACTGAGTCATTATGTAAATAAGCTAATTGCTTTCATCAGTTACAAAACACTTCTCTTGTTATGCCACACACAGATGCAGATATATTGATCTTCCTTTCTCATCGTTTAGCCTGGCATATTCTGTTTGTTTGCAAATATCTCCCTAAATTAGTGTTCAATAAATAAATATTAGGGATTGATTCAGAGGCACTCTGAAAGCTTGACTGAATTGTAAATCTTTAACTCCAGTTATTTTATCAATGAATTACTTTGTGGTGTACCCATTTACATCTAATGATCAGCAGCGACCTTTCACTGTGTATTTATGACTGTTACAGTTGTTGTCTGCTCCAAACAATCACATTATTGGAAATGAATTAAGTTTCTGTCATGCAATCCCCACAACAAGCCTATAATCACTATATTACAGTAACAATACACACTTGGGTTTAGCGCCACAGTCTGCACCTGGACTCATTAGTAATGTCTGGTCACTGCACAACAGAGTTATACCCTCTAGGGTCAAAATTTCACATTTCACACATTATTTCATCCATTATGTTATGTCTCAGAGCTTCAGGAAAAACCAACAGGAATAGGAGGGGAGTGGAAAGTGGGGGATCCCATTGGGAACTAGATTAAAGCATCTCTGTTGATGTAGTGTTACCTGTGTTGCTCTGTAAGATTCGTATAGAATAATTTACTTCAACCTACATCTCCTTGTACACGCAACATAACATTTCAGATCGCATCATTGTACCATTGACAGACATAATCTTGATCTTTAGACCAATGTTGCCCTCTAGTGTTAGAAATATGAGCACAAGTTAATTTGGTATTTAGGCCTAGATTCAATAGAGCCCCACAGTGGAGGTGTCATAATACCCATAAAATCTAGCGGTCAAACAGGGAAATGGTTCCAATCGTTTTTCCACCATTCATTTTTCCCATAGGGAATTTTTGATCAACTTACCACAAAGTCGTTTTATTGAAATATCTCCAAAAGTGCAGATGACACAGATTACTTTTTTTGTTCAGCAAGAACAGTGACAGCCAGGGAAAGTGTTGGGGAAATAATTTGGTGACATCTTGTGGTCTTTATGTGAATTACAAGGGGGATGGCAGTTACCTCATTGGGCTAGTTACCCCCTACTACCCTACTGTTGACCAATCACCAACAAAGGGGCGTAGACTTCGGCTACCAAACTTCGACTTACCTGAAGAAAACAATGTGTGTGCACAAACAGCCGAAAATAAAACAGCCGAAGACCAAAACGTCACCAAATGTTGTCATAATATACAGTATGTGCAAATTGTTTAGACTGGCAAGCATACGGTAAGATTTAGCTTTAACCGGCGATAGCCGACACCCATATAGCTGATGTTTTGGCGGTGTCAGAGGCGTAACTGCGTTGGAGCTGTTAAATCGGTGAGCAGCTGCTCTTGATCATTGCCATGAAGCCATACGCATCCCACTCGCAAAGTTCAGAATGAGAAAGTGTAGGCTATATAGAAATAATTATGCTCAAATTGAAATAATTTAATGAAATAATTAGGATTTCTATGATTGATGATTTTTATTCTGATTTACAGTAGCTGTTGAAAAAGCAGCAGCTATTCTTCCTGCGGTCCACACAAAACATAGAACATGACAAAATACAGAACACTAATGGACAAGAACAGTAACACAAATTTAAACTAAGAACACTACGACTAAATAACAATAGGACTAAGCAGTCTAATCGAGGTGTAGATTACATCTCACATTCCAGTTTTCGAACTCGTAAACAAGGCTGCATGGGATTTCTCTTAATGCGACTCCGTGCAGCCAATGGCAATGTCCGCTTTAGTTATAATGCCAGGAGCCACTTCTGGATTTGACAGTTCTAACACAGTTCCATCTCCAACACCACCAAAACAACCGCTATGCGGATGTCAGCTAAAGAGGATCTGATTTAATAGAGACCTTAAAGACTGCTGCCACTAGAGGCCCTGTGATTATCTCATGAATATGCACCTGTTGGAGCAGAAACTATGGCCATTTGTTTTGAAGAAAGGGATCTTATCAGCATACTTAGTATGTGTAGTGGCAGTTATTTTTTGTTAAAATGTAGTTGGTGTAGTTGGTCAGATATGTAAGAGCATTTACAGGGGGCCAGTATGAAAAATGTATGCACTCACTAATTGTAAGTCGCTCTGGATAAGAGCGTCTGCTAAATGACTAAAATGTCAATATCAATACAGAAGTGATCACAGTCAATACTTCTCACATCCCAGCTTCCTCCCACTGTTCCTCTCCAGCACGTTTTCCACTGCAGAAAGCTGGGGATGGACACTTTACCAAGGGAATCAGCCTAAGCAGAGAGTGCAAATCAGCTGATGATAACAGACTGGAAATAAGCTGCAGGTCACATGTGACATCATAGAGGAATGTCTGAGACGTTCATTGGGCCCACCTGTGTCTGTCTCGCTCTCTCTCTCCCTCATTAGTATTAAATATCCTCATTATGTAGTCTATACCTAGAGTTCCAAAACTATGGGGATGAAATGTACAGATGGTGATAACAAGTCTAGTCATACAAAACGTAAATTTGTTTTATAATTTACATTGTTAATGTTGTAAATGGCTATTGTAGCTGGAAATGGCTGATCTTTAATGGAATATCTACATAGGCGTACAGAGGCCCATTATCAGCAACCATCAGTCCTGTGTTCCAATGGCACGTTGTGTTTGCTAATCCAAGTTTATCATTTTAAAAGGCTAATTGATCATTAGAAAACCCTTTTCAATTATGTTAGCACAGCTGAAAACTGTTGTGCTGATTAAAGAAGCAATAAAACTGGCCTTCTTGAGACTAGGTGTTTGCCTACGGAGCTGTGTGGGGAGCGGCACCGCCGTACCTTCAGGCTCTGATCAGTTCCTACACCCAAACGAGGGCATTGCGTTCATCCACCTCTGGCCTGCTGGCCCCCCTACCTCTGCGGAAGCACAGGTCCCGCTCAGCCCAATCAAAACTGTTCGCTGCTCTGGCACCCCAATGGTGGAACAAGCTCCCTCACGACGCCAGGACAGCGGAGTCACTCACCACCTTCCGGAGACACTTGAAACCCCACCCCTTTAAGGAATACCTGGGATAGGATAAAGTAATCCTTCTACCCCCCCTTACCCCACCCCAAAGAAAGAAAAAAATTAAATAATAATAATAATAATAATAATATTGTAAAGTGGTTATCCCACTGGCTATAAGGTGAATGCACTAATTTGTAAGTCGCTCTGGATAAGAGCGTCTGCTAAATGACGTAAATGTAAATGTAAATGTAAATGTAGTTGAGTATCTGGAGCATCAGCAATTGTGGGTTCGATTACAGGCTCAAAATGGCCAGATACAAAGAACTTTCTTCTGAAACTCGTCAGTCTATTCTTGTTCTGAGAAATGAAGGCTATTCCATGCGAGAAATTGCCAAGAAACTGAAGATCTCGTACAACGCTCTGTACTACTCCCTTCACAGAACAGCGCAAACTGGCTCTAACCAGAATAGAAAGAGGAGTGGGAGGCCCCGATGCACAACTGAGCAAGAGGAAAAATACATTAGAGTGTCTAGTTTGAGAAACAGGCGCCTCACAGGTCCTCAACTGGCAGCTTCATTAAATAGTTCCCGCAAAACACCAGTCTCAACGTCAACAGTGAAGAGGACACTCCGGGATGCTGACCTTCTAGGCAGAGTTGCAAAGAAAAAGCCATATCTCAGAGTGCCCATGTTAATCTTTTCTTTTTATTGCCCAGTCTGAGATATGGCTTTCCCCTTTGCTGCTATAACAGCCTCCACTCTTCTGGGAAGGCTTTCCACTCGATGTTGGAACATTGCTGCGGGGACTTGCTTCCATTCAGCCACAAGAGCATTAGTGAGGTCGGGCACTGATGTTGGGCGATTAGGCCTGGCTCGCAGTCGGCGTTCCAATTCATCCCAAAGGTGTTCAATGGGGTTGAGGTCAGGGCTCTGTGCAGGCCAGTCAATTTCTTCCACACCGATTTTGACAAACCATTTCTGTATGGACCTTGCTTTGTGCATGGGGGCATTGTCATACTGAAACAGGAAAGGGTCTTCCCCAAACTGTTGCCACAAAGTTTGAAGCACAGAATTGTCTAGAATATCATTGTATGCTGAAGCTTTAAGATTTCCCTTCACTGGAACTAAGGGGCCTAGCCCAAACCATAAAAAACAGCCCCAAACCATTATTCCACCAAACTTTACAGTTGTCACTATGCATTGGGGCAGGTAGCGTTCTCCTGGCATCCGCTTCGCGGCTGAACCGTTGTTGCTCCTAGACCTTTCCACTTCACAATAACACCACTTACAGTTGACCAGGGCAGCTCTAGCAGGGCAGAAATTTGATGAACTGACTTGTTGGAAAGGTGGCATGCTATGACAATGCCATGTTGAAAGTCAATGAGCTCTTCAGTAAGGCCATTCTACTGACAATGTTTGTCTATGGAGATTGCATGGCGGTGTGCTCGATTTTATACACCTGTCAGCAATGGGTGTGGCTGAAATAGCTGAATCCACTAATTTTAAGGGGTGTCCACATACTTTGTATATATAGTGTAGAAGCACAAACTAAAATCTTTAAATGCAACCTTTTTGGAAAAACATACACAATTTGTTCCACCTGCAGAGAATCAGAGTAACATCTCTGGCTGCAGTGTAGATAAGAACAAAGGCCACTTTAGTCCAGAGTGAGTCCCAACAATCCAAGCAGCTACACTGACTTCCTCCGTGTGTGAGGGCTGCTCATCGCCAGGAAAAGGGCATCGGTGCTGGGGAAGGACTGGGATGAGGTGCCCCTGGAGCTGCAGGAGGCTCCATCCACCCTGTAGGAGATCGAGTTGTAGAAGACAGGGTTGCTGTGGCAGCCTGAGTGCTCACAGTGCGCCGGAGAGGGGCTGTCAGAGGCACCCAGCCTGAAGCACATACAGGAGCAGAGGGCGCTGATGCGGGACTCAGGATGCTTAGCAGAGTCCCTGCCCCCAGGGGTCTCCCTACGCTCCTCAGATGGAGAGGGGATGAGATTGGTACGACTGGTACCTCCCTCCATGGGCAGGGAGAGGTTACAGCAGCTACTGTTCCCATCCTCAGCTCTAATCCTCTCTATCCCATCAGCTCTGTCCCGCGCTGATGCTTCCACATCTGCCTCCTCCTCCCCCGCCTCCCCCGCCTCCCCCACCTCCCCTACCTCCCCCACCTCCCCAACCTTCCCCGCCTCCTCCACCTCCCCCGCCTCCTCCACCTCCCCCGCCTCCCCACCCCCTGTCTTCTTAGGCACTGCTGGCTTTTGCTCCTCTCCCTCCACCTCCAGGCTCCTAGTTCCCTCCTCTGTGCTGTAGGTGAGGTAGCGTAGCACCACCAGGTTCAGGAAAGCCCCGATCACTGCCAGCCCCACCAGGATGTACATGAAGCTGAAGGCCACATAGGGAGTCCTCCTCTGGAGGGCCTCCATCTTCTGCAGGGCCACAAAGTCCCCGAAGCCGATGGTGGTGAGCGTGATGAAGCAGTAGTAGTAGGCGTTGAAGAAGGTCCAGCCCTCAAAGTGGGAGAAGGCTGCTGCCCCGACACAGAGGGTGCTCATGCAGGACAGGAGGCCCACCAGCACCATGTTCCCCATGGACACGTCAGTCTTCCGTAAGCCCATGCATCGCTTGAGCCTGCGGAGGAGGTAGCGGACAAACGTGTTGATCCTTTCCCCCATGCTCTGGAACATGACCAGTGTCAGAGGGATACCCAGAACTGCATAGAACATGCAGAATACCTTTCCAGCATCAGTGCTTGGAGCAGCATGGCCATAACCTGCAGAACAGAATCATATCAAAGTTATAGACACATCATATGTGTACATTAACACACACACAAACAACACACACACAGTAACTCTTTTAAATAACCCAAAGAACAGCAGTCTCTTTAACACAATCACCATAACTGCATTATCATAACTGCCAGTTTCACAAATAATTTAAACCGGATTTCAGCTTCAGCACCATGGTCAGCGCCCGTAAGAGTAGAGGAAATGTTCAAACAGATTTGTTGTATGGATGATGTATGGATCCACGGATGAGTCATGTATGGATGATTTAACTTGCAGAGCAAAGAAACCACATAAACCTAAGAGTCCAAGACTTGCTTGGAAAATATTTCTAAAAGGCATAGCAAAATAACTTACCTATCGTTGTGATGACGGTGATGGCAAAGTAAAAGGATCCCGCGAATTTCCACTGTCTCCCCGCGCAATGGGGCTCCGACTGTAGAACCACCCTCTCGATCTCCCGGTAGTCGTCATCGGTAAATCCGTACTTCTTCTTCAGCTCATTGCGCTTCTGTTCCAGGATCTTCTTCCTCGAGTTCTCGGTCTCTGATTCGAGGGCGTCGAACACCGCGGCTCCCATAAGCAGGTAGGATAGCATACACAGGATGAGAGAAAGGGTCCGAATGTTCTGCGCCTTCATCCTCACTCCGAGCGAACTCGAGTGGGCACTGAGAGGTGGGAGGGTGTGTGTTAAGGAAGAGAGACAGCAGGTGTACGCGCAAGTTCTGTCATGCAAGCCTTGACCAACACAGCCTTGATAATTATAGGAAGAACGGATCCTACACCTGTTTGACTGCTTGTTGTCCTCTGTTATTATCTTAGGTTACTTGAAGAATAGGCTAGGCCCAACAGGCACAGTTTCGTTTTTTTGCGTCATTTTCCCCTATTTGAACAAAGCGCGCACATGGCCTCATTCACCCCATTCACATAACAGTTATGGGGCCTGGACTACATAGTTGATTGATATAACTCATCAGTGTCCTAGGCTTATATAGTATTACGGTGTAGGTAATTGTGCCTGTCGTATTTTTTTATACAGGCACTGCACGCACTTTCAATAGGCTTTGGGGTATGTGTTCTCATTACAGTATGCGTTCCAGTGTGCATGCATAGTTTATAGTCTGAATGACCAAATTTAAGACTTACTGGGGTTCACCCGAGTCTTTAATGATGATGCTCTCTCACACATTGGAACTAAAGTGCGTGACAGATGCACGTGCGCTGGCGAGACACCTTTATCACCAAGACCGGTCAAATTACAGTTTATGGATAGGGCCAGACTAGGGGTATTTCCTAACCTGGACCTGGCTAGCCAAACTGTTTTTTCATGGTACCCACCTCTGTTAAATCTCAGCTCTAATGACAGCCGGTAGCCTAGACAGGTTTTGCAACTAATGGCCAAGAAGGACACACTTTTACTTTTTTGTCTGTAGGTTTTTGATCCTCTAGCCATTGCTCTCATCCATCTTTAACAGATCCAACTTCTTATGTAAGCCCAATGTAGATAATTTCAAATAAACCTTTATCTTAATCTAAATGGGTGAAATAAACTGGGGGCCTTGACCAAAAGTCATACCCTGCTGTGTGTGCAACGAGCTGGACCTGTCCATGGTGCTGAACACTGGTTTGTAATCAGTGAGAGACGGTCAGTTGGATGGCTTCAGTTGGTGAAAGAGACTATTGTTCTTTTGGTTCTTTAGAGAGAGAGGGGGGCACTGTGGAAACAGCTGGCCTTTTCATAATCTACTCTCTTGATTGCTTTGCTTTGTGAAGCATACATGTGCGAAGTATTCACAAAATGCTTGGGTAATATATTACTCTGACTGATGAAGCATGGGCTGGTGGCAGAGTTGACCTTTATAAAGCACACTTAGTCCCAGAGGGATCAATAGAGCCTTCATCATTAACTAAGTCAGAGAGAGAGAGAGAGAGAGAGAGAGAGAGAGAGAGAGAGAGAGAGAGAGAGAGAGAGAGAGAGAGAGAGAGAGAGAGAGAGAGAGAGAGAGAGAGAGAGAGAGAGAGAGAGAGAGAGAGAGAGAGAGAATCAAGGTAGCTAACCATGTGAGTATTTCATGACCCCCAAAGCATCAAGATTTAAATGTCATGATTGACAAAGACTAGGACATGAGGTACATTTACATGGGTCTGATTAGACACAGAGACCAGTGATAACAATTTCAATTGGTCATTTTGTAACACATTTATTAATGTTATATTGTTTTTCTGCATACCAGGTTAAATTTCCATATTTCAGTTTAATTCAATGATATTAATATAAACATCATGAATAATAGAGATAATTAATCATTGCTAAAGGCTGTATTGTGTGTGTGTGTGTGTGTGAGAGAGAGAGAGAGAGAGAGAGAGGGGGGGGTGGGGGGGGGGGGGGGGGGGGGACAGAGCAAAGAGGGAGAGACACAGACAGAGGGAGAGTCCCTCTAAGTTCTGAAAGTGTATTACCTCTTCTCCACCAAGAGCATGATCATCTCTGTTATTACAATGTACATGTATTGTTTGTCTCCTTTCAAGCCTATTCAGGGCTATTATGTCCTATATGAAGTACAGTAAATACCACATTGTGCTTTACTCAGTGCCAACAAAATCCATTACCACCCAGATGGTAAGAGTGCAGAGAGTGAGCATGGCTCTGTTTTTCCTACTGGAAAAAAGGATAAGAACAATCATTACTATTGAATGGATTATGTCCCTGAAAGATAAGTTAATAGCCAATGTCCAAAGTCCTTTCCAGTCCATGTGGCGTCAGCGTGTATGGTTATTACGGCAGATCAGTTACACAACTACAGCTTTAAAGTTAGACACAAATAATTCAATCAAACAAACGTTTTTGAAGTTTCACAAGCAGGATAGGCATTGATAAATATATTGGCTTGTGATTCTATATAAAAACAGAAAGTGATCTTTGAGCATTAGTCCCCAACCCTTCTAATGGCTTTGTGGTTGCTGATGCCTAGGGAGTAATTATAGTGTTTTATCTGATTTGCTAAGCTCCTATCATGCTCTCCTCTACAGAATGGCTTGGCTGGACTCAGCCTCTAAGCTATCTCTCACAGGAAGACATTAAGACCAGGATATCAAGCACCAGGCCAGTCATCTGCCAATGTTCCATCACTAGATGGAAGATGAGACATGATATAACTGAGAACATGATGCTGTCTTTACACTGATAACAGAGACTAACTGTCAGCATAGGAAATGATCAAGATAGAAGTCACAGCACAGCAGCAGAACTGATGAGTTTTTTGTTGAGTGTACTGAGACCTGTGTGTTCACATAATACAACGTTTATGCTGAATTATTATAAATAAAGGGGGATGAGTAAGATGTAGGGGTTTGGATGACTTTTATATCCGAGTCCAGATCACTGTGAATGGAGGATTTCAGCTGTCTCATTGTGCTAATGCCAAAGGCACTGGCTCTTTTCCCCAGAGGGATACAAAGGTGTCACGGAAGGACACTGACTTGAACTTTACTGCTAATGTGAGTAGTGCTTTGAGGCTTATTAACGAAAAGGGCAGAATGACAGACCTTTGATTCCTCTGGGACAGCAACTTTAGGGAGGCCTGACAGACCTTTCAATCCTCTGGGACAGTAGCTTTAGCGAGGACTGACAGACCTTTCAATCCTCTGGGACAGTAGCTTTAGTGACGACTGACAGACCTTTCAATCCTCTGGGACAGTAGCTTTAGCGAGGACTGACAGACCTTCCATTCCTCTGGGACAGCACCTTTAGGGAGGCCTGACAGACCTTTCAATCCTCTGGGACAGTAGCTTTAGCGAGGACTGACAGACCTTTCATTCCTCTGGGACAGCACCTTAAAGGAGGGCTGATGACTGTGACCAGGTATGACCGTGACCAAGTTTTCAACTGAAAAAATCACACCACAAAATAAATTATGTGGTCTATTTGGAAAAAATTATGAATAGACATGAAACAAGCAGTGAATATGGGATGTACAGTGCATTCGGAAAGTATTCAGACCCCTTGACTTTTTCCACATTTTGTTACGTTACAGCCTTATTCTAAAATTAATTAAATTGTTTTTTTTCCTCAACAATCTACACACAATACCCCATAATGACGAAGCAAAAACAGGTTTTTAGAAATGTTTGCTAATTTATTGAAAATAAAAACCTCAAATATGACATTTATATAAGTGTATCAGACCCTTTACTCAGTACTTTGTTGAAGCACCTTTGGAAGCGATTAGAGCCTAGAATCTTCTTGGGTATTACACTACAAGCATGCACACCTGTATTTGGGGAGTTTCTCCCCTTCTTCTCTGCAGATCCTCTCAAGCTCTGTCAGGTTGGATGGGGAGCGTCACTGCACAGCTATTTTCAGGTCTCTCCAGAGTTGTTCGATCGGGTTTAAGTCCGGGCTCTGGCTGGGCCACTCAAGGACATTCAGAGACTTGTCCTGAAGCCACTCATGTGTTGTCTTGGCTGTGTGCTTAGAGTCGTTGTCCTGTTGGAAGGTGAACCTTAGCCCCCAGTCTGAGGTCCTGAGCGCTCTGGAGCAGGTTTTTATCAAGGATCTCTATGTACTTTGCTCTGTTCATCTTTCCTTCGATCCTGACTAGTCTCCCAGTCCCTGCCGCTGAAAAACATCCCCACAGCGTGCTGCCACCACCACACTTCACCGTAGGGTTCAAATCAAATCAAATCAATTTTTATTTGCCACATGTGCCGAATACAACAGGTGTAGACATTACCGTGAAATGCTTACTTACAGCCCTTAACCAACAATGCATTTATTTCTTAATAAAAAAGTAAAATAAAACAACAACAACAAAAAAGTGTTGAGAAAAAAAGAGCAGAAGTAAAATTAAATAACAGTAGGGAGGCTATATACAGGGGGGTACCGGTGCAGAGTCAATGTGCGGGGGCACCGGCTAGTTGAGGTAGTTGAGGTAATATGTACATGTGGGTAGAGTTAAAGTGACTATGCATAAATCATTAACAGAGTAGCAGCAGTGTAAAAAGATGGGGTGGGGATGGGGGGGCAGTGCAAATAGTCAGGGTAGCCATGATTAGCTGTTCAGGAGTCTTATGGCTTGGGGGTAGAAGCTGTTGAGAAGCCTTTTGGACCTAGACTTGGCGCTCCGGTACCGCTTGCCGTGCGGTAGCAGAGAGAACAGTCTATGACTAGGGTGGCTGGAGTCTTTGACAATTTTGAGGGCCTTCCTCTGACACCGCCTGGTATAGAGGTCCTGGATGGCAGGAAGCTTGGCCCCAGTGATGTACTGGGCTGTACGCACTACCCTCTGTAGTAACTTGCGGTCGGAGGCCGAGCAGTTGCCATACCAGGCGGTGATGCAACCAGTCAGGATGCTCTTGATGGTGCAGCTGTAGAACTTTTTGAGGATCTGAGGACCCATGCCAAATATTTTCAGTCTCCTGAGGGGGAATAGGCTTTGTCGTGCCCTGTCTTGGTGTGTTTGGACCATGATAGTTTGTTGTTCCTCTTTTTTTTCCTGCAGTCCACAATCATCTCCTTTGTCTTGATCACATTGAGGGAAAGGTTGTTATCCTGGCACCACATGGCCAGGTCTCTGAACTCCTCCCTATAGGCTGTCTCATCGTTGTCGGTGATCAGGCCTACCACTGTTGTGTCGTCTG